CCCCCCTCCCCTCTAGAACCCTCAGACCAACATTTTTTTTTTTTTATAATCTTGGGCCCAGGACCAAACCTGAGGTTCTGACATGGCCTGGTCAGGGCTGACTGGAGTGGTTCTATCAACTTCTTTTATCTTGGAGACAGTGCAGCAGGGGGAACCAGACTTAATTCCCAGTCCGTCCTCTCTGTAGCCTTTGCTGGTGGCTGCAGTGAGGCCACACCAGGAAAGACCTAGAAGGGTGAGATACTCAGGGCCCCATCCTTAAATAGATCACTACAGTGGCAGAGAGGTGCTCATTGAGATCCCGCTCCGGTGGCCCCCACGAGACCTGCCCCCATCACCCTTGTCACCCTCACAGCTCCCTTCATCCTCTCTGCCTGGTGTGTGCTGTATACATAGCACTTTATACTACAGTTAGTTTGTGAGCTTGTCTTAATTTCTCTCTAAATCATACACTCCATAAGGCAAAGTCTAGCTATGACTACATCCTCCCAACAGCTAACGTAATGCTTATACCTTGTGGGTGTTCAGGAAAGAATGGCTCAGCAAATGAGCGGTCAGCACACTCTTAGGTGCTTACATGTTACTTACATATTACATGTCACTCGGAATGAGTCAGCTTGGGTCCATGGAAAGGGTCCCTGGTGGTCTCGGCCCAGGCTGATGTACAGCTCTTTAGAAGAGGCTGATTGGAAGCTGCCGACCAACCCCAGACCCCAGAGCATGTGCCAGACCTTTGCATATTTCCCATTTCCATGCCAGCACTGCATCTGAAGGTTAAGGTTATGCTATCCATTTCAGTTATAACCCCAGCTTCTCCCTTCCCCCTCCTCCTCCTCCTTCATAAGGCCTCTTTTCCTTTAGAGCCAAGGTGACGTTTTTAGGCCTTGGGTACTTTGAACATGGTCTTGGGCATTTGTATGGTTCTTCTAGGGCCACTGGGACCCTATGTCCTGATACTGTCTTTAAGTCGATAAATGTAAGCTTTCTAATTATTTTCAGCATTTCAAAAAATCTGGGCAAGTTTTATGTTTGTCCAAAATTTGACTACATACAGAGCCAAGCTAAGAGTCATTTTGGTGTCTTTACTTATGGTTGGAATCACATCACTGCTCGCCCCCGGATGATGGAAAGATCTGATTGGCAGCTTATATTGTCTTGGGTAAAATTGGATAAATGAATTTTACTCATCACAGTGTGTTGGGTAGATGATTTTTTTAGGGTGCAAGATCTATGGGGAGAGACTCTGGTGGGAATCTGTGTAGGGAGGCCCTGTGGGAAGTGTTACGAAAGAGGGTGTCTCCGTGTCCCCCTTGGCAGGTGGCAGGCATTCCAGACCATAGTGTCAGACCGGCGGGAGGCAGTGAACGCAGCCCTCCGGGTGCGTAACTACTGCGTGGACTGTGAAGAGACTAGCAAGTGGATCGAGGACAAGATGCAGGTGGTGCAGGCCACTAAGGAACTGGGCCAGGACCTGGCGGGCATCATTGCCATCCAGCGGAAGCTGTCGGGGCTGGAGCGCGACGTGGCCGCCATCCGGGACCGGGTGGGTGCCCTGGAGCGTGAGTCGCAGCAGCTGATGGCCTCACACCCCGAGCAGGGAGAGGACATCGGCCAGCGGCAGGCATGTGTGGAGAAGCTGTGGCAGGAGTTGCAGGAAGCCCTGCTGGAGCAGGAAGCCTCGCTGGGGGAAGCCAGCCAGCTCCAGGCCTTCCTGCAGAATATGGATGACTTCCAGGCCTGGCTGTCCATGGCCCAGAAGGCCGTGGCCTCCGAGGACATGCCTGAGTCCCTCCCGGAGGCCGAGCAGCTCCTACAGCAGCACGTGGCCATCAAAGACGACATTGACAGGCACCAAGAGATCTTCCAGAATGTCAAGGTATCCGGGGAGAATGTGATCCGTGATCAGACGGACCCCGAGTACCTGCTCCTGGGCCAGAGGCTGGAGGGCCTGGATGCTGGCTGGGATGCCCTGTGCCGGATGTGGGAGAGCCGCAACCACTCCCTCGCCCAGTGCCTCGGCTTCCGGGAGTTCCAGAGAGATGCCAAGCAAGCTGAAGCCATCCTCAGCAATCAGGTAGGGAGAGGCATACAGGGCTGGTGGGGGGGCGGGGGGAGGTTGTCTCTTAGGGCAATAGCACTGGTGAATCCATGAATGTCCTCAGAGACCAAATTCTACCTTTTTTCAAATCTAAATAGTTAACATACAATGCAATATTGGTTTCAGGAGTAGAATTCAGTGATTCATCACTTACATACAATACCCAGTGCTCATCCAAGCGAGTGCCCTCTTTCATCCCCATCATCCATTTAGCCCATCCCCCATCCCCCTTCCTCCATCAACCCTCAGTTTGTTCTTATCGGTAAGAGTCTCTTATGGCTTGTTTCCCTCTCTCCTTTTTTTCTTTTCCCCCTTCCCATACATTCATCTGTTTTCTTTCTTAAATTCCGCATATGAGTGAGATCTTATGGTATTTGTCTTTCTCTGACTGACTTATTTTGCTTAGCATAATACCCTCTAGATCTATCCACAGTGTTACAAATGGCTAGATTTCATTGTTGTTGATGGCTGAGTAATATTCCATTGTGTGTGTGTGTGTGTGTGTGTATATATATATCACATCTTCTTTATCCATTCATCTGTCGATGGACATCTGGGTTCTTTCCATAGTTTGGCTATTGTGAACATTGCTGCTATAAACATTGGGGTGCATGTACCCCTTCAAACCTGTATTTTTGTATCCTTTGTGTAAATACCTAGTAATGCAATTGCTGGATCGTAGGGTAGTTCTATTTTTAACTTGGTGAGGAACCTCCATCCTGTTCTTCAGAGTGGCTGCACCAGCTTGCATTCCCACCAACAGTGTAGGAGGGTTCCCCTTTCTCCTCAAATTCTACATTTTGGGGACTCTCTCCAGCCATGAATTGGGGGGAAATCCTCTTTCTTCCTTATCACATGCCTTTTCCAGCCCTGTTTCCTAAACTATGCCTTGTTCTTGGGTCAGTTACAGGCTGGAAAGGTGAATTTTCCCCTGAGCCATTACCCTTCCACATGGCTTTAGGCTCACTGTTAATTGGGTGCCTCTGGGGTGGGGATGGGGGCAAGGCCTAGGGTGCCTCTTCCTTGTACAGCTCCAGGGAGCACCATTCATGCTGTAGCCCAGATGGCTGTACGGGGTGCTTGTGCTTGGCAGGTGCCCTCATTGCCTTCCCAGCTTGTCTTCATGCCTTGTCTGGAAACTTGCTTCAACAGGAATATACTCTGGCTCACTTGGAGCCCCCAGACTCCCTAGAAGCTGCAGAGGTTGGGATCCGGAAGTTTGAGGATTTCTTGATGTCTATGGAGAACAACCAGGATAAGGTCTTGAGTCCTGTGGACTCTGGAAACAAGCTGATAGCTGAAGAAAACCTCTACTCAGACAAGATCCTGGAGAAGGTGCAGCTGATTGAGGACAGGTACTCTTTGCCCCCAAGGTCACGGGGCCAGACCCAGGTAGGGCTGGTGGTGGTGTTCAAGGTACGCGGGCGCAGCCCTGTGGTGATGACAGCTTCCGGCTTCCCTTCTAGGCACAGGAAAAACAAGGAGAAGGCTGAGGAAACTTCTGTCATTCTGAAAGACAACTTGGAGCTCCAGCACTTCCTCCAGAACTGCCAGGAGGTAAGGCTCCAGCAAGGCAGGACACTTTGCAGGAGGTTCCCTTCTAGGAGCAAAGTGCCCTAGAGGTAGAAAGTTCATCGGGGCAGGCGGGGGGGAACACCTGGCTGGCTCAGTCAGAGGAGTGTGTGGCTCTTGATCTCGGGATCATGGGTTTGAGCACCGCATTGGGTGTAGAGATTACTAAAAAAATAAGGAAGGGAAGGGGAAGGGAAAGGAAGGGAATGGAAGTCCACAGGGATCCTTTCTAAGTTGGGAGTCTGGAATTTCATGAGGGAAACTCTGGGTATTTGATAGCTTAGGTCATCCTCTAGAATCTTTGGTTCTATTATTTTTTTCCCCAAATCTATAAATTTTAATTTGCCTACTCCAGGGCAGGGTTTCTCAAAGAGTGGCCTGAGGGCTATCTATATAAAGAGTCCCCTAGGGCCCTGATCAAGGCTGGCTTCAAGGACAGCCCGCCTGTGCATTCATCTAGGGCCCCATGCTTGGTTTAATGCTCTGTGGTTGCCATCTTGAAATTCTTAATAATTTTGAGCATTTCCATTTTACACTGGGCCTCTGCAAATTATGGAGCCAGTCCTGGCCCTTGTTAAATGCAAAGTCCTGGGCCCCACTCAGGCCCAGATGAATCAGAACCTCAAGGGGTGAGAGAGAGAGAGCAGCGTTTTCAACAAGCCTCCCAGTTGGAGAGCTGACTCAGAAGGCCCTTGCTCAGCCTAGGATGAGTTGTGCAAGGAAGGTTTTTTTTTTTTTAAATGTTTTATTTATTCATGAAAGTCAGAGAGAGAGAGAGAGGCAGAGGCAGAGGGAGAAGCAGGCTCCCCGCCCAGCAGGGAGCCCGATGCGGAACTCGATCCCAGAACCCTGGGATCATGACCTGAGCCGAAGGCAGACGCTCAACCATCTGAGCCACCCAGGCGCCCCGCAAGGAAGGTTTTTAACCTGCACTCCTGAGTCCCTCCATGAGTGGTACTTCTGTGTGGAATGGTGCTTTCTCTGACTTCTTTCTCTCTCCCGTCCTCATACCCCTTTCCTCTCGGCCCAAACAACTTTGTTTTCATCTGCCTCTGCCCTTGGCACCATCCAGGCTTGGTATGCCGCCAGGTCATCTTGGAAACATTGGATGTGCATCAGAGTTCTTCCCTCATTGTTAATTACAGGTTCTGCCCTTGGCTTCTTCCTCAGATAACATTTTCTCTGTGTTTATTAATGATTTCTCACCTTACTGCCAAAGGGTGGATTTATCTATCCATCCAGTAAACACTCACTTCTTACAGTAGGCCAGGCCCTGTCCTAGGTCCTGGAAAAATGGAGAGAAGCATAAATATCCTTGGTGTCACACCGCATACACTCGGCTAGAGCGTATGAGAAGACACTCAGGGGCTGATATTTTAGCCCTGAAACAACACAGATGAAGTTGCTTGTGCTGAGAGTTAGGGACCCAGAGTTTTGGAGAGTAGTACTCTGCTGTATTCATACTTCCTCCCCTGGGCCGCCTTCTGCAGCCAGAGGTGGGCAGCAGGTCCTGCCCTAAGCCCCTGGCCAAAGAGGTCCACTCAGAGACTGTTGGACTCCCTCTTTCTGTCCACAGCTCACTCTCTGGATCAATGACAAGCTGCTAACATCTCAGGATGTCTCCTATGACGATGCAAGAAACCTGCAAAACAAGTGGGCAAAGCACCAAGCATTTATGGCAGACCTGGCTTCCCACCAGGGGTGGCTAGACAGCATTGATGCGGTAAGTGAGGCGAGTGGTGAGTGCCGGGGGCTCTCTGCTCAGATGTGCGCGCCTGAATGGGGCTTCACGCGGGGCATAGGCACCGTCTGAACCTTACTGGACAGTACAGAACCTGCAAATGAAAAACTTCTCTAATTAGTAGTCCAGGCTTCAGAGCTCCTGATTTATCCAGTCCTGTCAGGCCTGGTCAGAAGTGGTGCGTCCTCTAGGGCACCTGAGTCTGGAGACAGTCCAGACCCTGAGGATACCTGAGGGAGTGCCTCAGCCTCTGCTGCCCCCAGGACACCAGTTATGTCCGTGTGCCTCCCATTATCCTCACCAGGACCCCAGCACTGTCCTGCCCGAGGGCAGGGGGATATGGCAGATGAGCAGAGTGGTCCAGGGGACCATGGGCCCTCATCGTTTGGATGGGCAAGACCACCAGGGAGTGGTCATTCACACCCCTCATAGATGGGGGACCCTAAAAGGATGACCCCCTTATAACAGGCCTGCTCCAGGGCCCAAGTCAAAATGTAGCTGGCGTTCAATCCGGGAATCCCTTACCTTTGCTCCTCCCTGCTGTGGCTGTCCAGGAAGAAGCAGGCGTAGGGTCCACACGGGGCAACATCCATAGTGGTCGAAGGTGCAGACTCTGAACCAGACTGTCTGACTCCTCAACCTCCCTGGGCCTCAGTTTCTTCATCTGAAAAATGGGGATAATAACAGTACTTACCCAAGGGAATTGTGGACATTAAAGCACTTAGCATACATAGTACTTGGCACTTATGGGGCATCCAGTAAATATTGATTGTTATTAGCAACATATATTCCTAGGCCCAAGTCATATCATACTGTATCCACCTGAAAGGGTACATTTATGCAGGTGAAAACCCAGTAAGACAAACCCAGTAACGAAAAGATATCACCAAAGGCTAGTGCACAGCCCCTGGGAAGACAGTTGAGAGAGTGGAGGCCTTTCCATGCTGGCTGTACCTGGATGGATCTTGAATCTTTTTTTTTTTTTAATTAAAAAATAATTTAACATCAGCTGATCCTGGCCTGCAAGAACTGCCCATACTACAGTCTCCCTGAGTCCTTTGCCCCAAACACACCCCTCCCTGTCCCACCTTCTCCTGCAAATAACTCTGAGGGTGCAGAGTCTTTCAGTGGAGCCTCACCTGAGTTCTAGGCAGATTCTGCGCCTCCGTGATCTCCCCTCGGTGAACCCCCGGCAACCCCACGGAGCAGGGCTGCTTCAAGGCTGCCGGGCCTCAGAGGTGAGCCCTCCTGCTTCCCCACGCAGGAAGGAAAGCAGCTGATGGAGGAGAAGACCCAGTATAGAGCCCTGGTGTCCCAGAGGCTGGAAGATTTGCACCGGCTCTGGGATGAGCTTCAGGCCACCACCCAGGAGAGGGCCCAGCACCTCTCAGCTGCCAGGAGCTCCTACCTGCGCTCACAGACCCACGCTGACCTCAACAAGTGGATCAGCGCTATGGAGGACCAGCTGCGGTCTGATGACCCGGGCAAGGACCTGACCAGCGTCAACCGGATGTTGACTAAGCTGAAGGCACGTGAGTGGGTTGTAGACTGGGAATGTTGGACTAGGAGATCTGGGGGAGCAAATCTGAAACCTGAAAGTACTCCTTCTGTTCCTCTGAGCTGGGCTGGAGCAAAAATGTCTCCTGGTTCATAACCCGTCTCCTACTCCTTTGCAGTGGGTAAGAGAGGGATCCTGGGTTAAAAATAAAGCATGCACGAGAAGTATAGGACAGGCACTTACGGGAAGGATGAGTGGGGGCATCCAGGGAGACTTCCTGGGGGAGGCTGGGCCTTTAAGGATGGATAGGATATGGATGATGAAGAGGACATGGGACTACCCAGGTGCCAAGGCTGTTACTAACAGACTCTGTCCCCTTGTGTCCCAGCGTGTGGAGGACCAAGTGAACGTGCGGAAAGAGGAGCTGGGGGAGCTGCTTGCTCAGGTGCCCTCACTGGGAGAGGAGGCAGGAGACACAGACATGAGCATCGAGAGGCGGTTCCTGGACCTCCTGGAGCCCCTGGAGAGGAGGAAGAAGCAGCTGGAATCATCCCGAGCCAAGCTGCAGATCAGCAGGGACTTAGAGGATGAGACAGTGAGTTGGCCGCAGACCTCACCCCCAGGGGCTGAGCCGGCAGCTGCCATCAGGATGACTGGCTGCCGCCCAGGGTGGTTCTTAGCACATGTCTGGTCCTCTCACCTCCTGATCGCAGAGCTGTTGTGATGATTACATTAAATATGAAAGTGAAGCCAGTGCTTTTTGGACGGTAACTCAGTCACAGACTTTGGGACAGACAGACTTGGGTTCAAGATCCACCTATATTACCTTCCCCTTGTATGACCAGAAGCAAGTTATTTGGAACCTCAATTCAAAATATCTGTGTGTCCCCATCTGTAAAATGGAGACAGGAGAGAGCTCTGTCTGACCCAGGGTGAGTGCTTGGAAGAGGGTGGCCACAACTGTCACCAGCTGACCCCTGCCTTCTGGTCTCTATAGCTCTGGGTGGAAGAGAGGCTGCCTCTGGCCCAGTCAGCCGACTATGGCACGAATCTGCAAACTGTGCAGCTGTTAATGAAGAAGAATCAGGTGAGTCCTGCTTCACCTGGTTAGTCCCCCCACCTGCCCCCTCCCTGCCTCTGCCCTGCGCAGGGTGGAATGCCCAGCCCTGACCTGCAGAAGGCCAGCACCAGCAGATTATTGTTCTTGTTGGTAGCTGTGGGGCCCCCAGATCCCGTAAAAAGAGCAGCTTTGGTGATGGCAGAGAGAATTCTGGGAAGTCCATGGCAGGGCCAGTGCTGGTAGGGGGGTGTCCAGATGCTTCGGGATTTGGAGCCATTCAGACCCATCGGAGCCTCGGTGAGTGCAGCACCCTGGCCTGGGGTGTCATGTGCTTTATCGCTTCTGTATCCGTGGCCTCCCTGAAAGGAAGCCCATTAGCTCCTGGTTTCTTTCCCAAGACTGATTTGCCCCTCTTCCAGGACTGAGCCTGGCTGGTTGGGTATCCTCAGGGCAAGTAGGCCCCATTTCTTCTGCCACATGAGGATACTCATGGGAAGCCACTAAACTTGGTCCCTGAGCCTATTGGAGCAACATCCATTTGCTCTTCTGCTCTTTCTTAAGCCTGATGGGTCATTCCTGAGGCCCCGGTCAGACTCCTGGAAGTGAGCAGATGCAATACTTCCTCCTGTATCAGGAGTACAAGCATCCTCTCATATCTTCCAAGAAGGCCAGCTGCATGGGCTCATCGAGCCCTGCTCTTGGGCAGAGAGTCGCCCTTCCTGCCTGCTCTACTCTCTGGGTCAGGAAGTGGGGGGCGCCACAGCCAAGAGCAACACGAGCCTGCAAACTGGTCCCCGAGAAGAGCAGTGTGTCCCAGCACGCCAGGCAGCATTGCAGCTCCCTGGGGAAGAAAGGCCGTGGCAGCAGGTCCTTCCTCAGAATAACAGCAGCTGACATCTGCTCACAGAGCCCAGCGACTGGGCACGCGGCTGAATTACGTTCAAAGAGGTGTCCGAACGTTTCCTCAGACCTTTGCTTCCAGTTGACGTGACCTAGTCACAAAGGCTCCAGTGTGCACAGGCAGGGTCTTGGGCTAGAAGGTAGTAGGTAGGGGTTCAATTAATGCCACAACCTGCAGTTACAGGAAGGAGACTGATAGAAGATAGTACCCTGGGGCCGCAGTTTCTTCAACTGTAAAATGAGCTGACATCAGTCCTTCCAACACCAAAGACTTTGGCTCTGTCTGGCCTCGGTGTGATTGCCAAGAGACTCTCAGCTCCCCTGGATGAAGGTTGCTATTTCAGGAAAAGGGCAACACAAGTATATTTTCCCTAACCAAGAAGGGAAAGACAGTCTCTTGGCAGAGCATGGCTGCCCTAGCCAAGACTACGCTAAGCTAGATGAGCTACAGCTTAAATCTCATTTTATCATTCTCTGTACTGCGGTGGTTCTCAAACTTCAGTATGCACCAGACTCACCCAGAGGGCTTTGTTAAAACACAGTCGACCAGGCTCCATCTCAGGTCTACTGATTCAAACTCTCGGAGTAGAGCCTGATAACTTGCACATCTACCAAGATCCTAGGTGACGCTGATGCTCTTGGTGTGGGATCCCACTTTGAGAACCACTGCTCTAATGGTTATCCATTGCAACTAGAACCAATCCTGCAAGGTACCACATGAATGGTTCTTGGCTTGGGCTGCACAGTAGAATCACCTGGAGGGCTCCCTCCATGATAGTGTAAGCTTTATGAAGGCAGGGGTTTTGTTGATCTTGTTTCCATGTTGTCCCTAGAGCCTAGAACCAGACCCAGGACCTAGGAAATAACTTCATAGCTCTGTGTTGGACACATGATGTAGTAAGAATACATCATAAGGGATGCAGGATCTAGTTACAATGTAGCTGTAAAGTGCTGCCTTGTCTTTGCCCCCTGCTCAAAATAAAGCTGTTACCTTTCTAGCCCTGTCCGCCATGGTGCTTAGCAGCCAGGGATGCATGGTCTCAGACATGTTTACCAAGTAAAACACTGACTTGAGGGGCGCCTGGGTGGCTCAGTCATTAAGTGTCTGCCTTCGGCTCAGGTCATGGTCCCAGGGTCCTGGGATGGAGCTCCGCATCGGGGTCCCTGCTCAGCGGGGAGTCTACTTCTCCCTCTCCCACTCCCCCTGCTTGTGTTCCCTCTCTCGCTGTGTCTCTCTCTGTCAAATAAATAAATAAAATCTTTAAAAAAAAATAAAATAAATTAAAAAAATTTAAAAAAAAGAATACATCATAAGGAAGCACACTGCACGGGAGCCTAGAAAGGAGTTGCTTAAAAAGAGAGAAATAGATTTTAGGATCCCTTGCAGAAGTTATAGGATCTCAGGGAAAGAAAGAGGCACACAGAGCTGACACCGTGGGTTGTTTGAATTCAACTGCGTGGACCACGAAAAATTGTCAGGATTGAGATTCCAAGTATAAAGGGTAAGAAGGCATTTCGGCAAGTTAGGTGACTTGTGACTCCCACTGGTTCTGTGTATTTTCAATGCTGACAGTCCCTGTGTGGCTTGTGTGTATGCCCTCCGGATGGTTTTAAAGGCCACGGGGACATTGTAGAAAGGGAGGAGATGAGGTGTAAGGAGCCGAGAGCCCACATGCAAGAAGCAGCGAGGCCCGGGCCTCTAGGACCCCGAAAGTGAGCCACACACTTGGGAATGGCCCACCCAAGAAAAAGGCGACCCCATCACCAGAGAGAGGAGAATGCCCTCTTCATGACCAAATGCTTAAACAGCAAATAATACAGAGCTCACAAAAGATTTAAGAAATAGAAATGGGGGGTGGAAAGCCAAAATCCTAAAATCTGAGCAAGGAGCCACCATCAACTCTTGTCTCCCACGGAGCCAGAGGTGCTAAAATAAGATATCAAAGGCCATTTAACAATCGTTCTCCATTCCTCCAACCCGTCCGGCTAAGAAGCAAGCTGTGCTGAGACGCAGGAGGACTAGGGAGCAGGGAGAGCCCCGCTCAAAGGCCAGCACTGCCACTCACTGGGCACGAGTTACCCCGCCGCGGGCTGCCCCCCCCACCCTCCCCTCTCCAAAGGCTGTAGGGGTGAAGGCAGGGGGCACGGATGCAGGGCGCTGTGCGGTCAGGGCCAGTTTTTATGGCCACTGCCCGCTCCACAGTCACTTCCCAGAGCGGGGGCCTGCCAGAGGTGCCGGAAGTGGCCCTGGGTGACCCGCTGCACGCGGGCCCGGCCACCCTCCCTCACCTCCCAGCCTTTCCCTCCGGCCACAGACGCTGCAGAACGAGATCCTGGGCCACGCACCGCGGGTGGAGGACGTGCTGCAGAGAGGGCAGCGGCTGGTGGAGGTGGCTGCGATTGACTGCGGGGACATGGAGGAGCGCCTGGGGCACCTGCAGGGCTCGTGGGACGCGCTGCGGGAGGCAGCAGCCAGGAGGCTGCAGCGCCTGCAGGACACCAGCGAGGCCCAGCAGTACTACCTGGACGCAGGCGAGGCCGAGGCCTGGATCAGTGAGCAGGAGCTCTACATCATCTCCGACGAGACCCCCAAGGTTGGCCGGGGCTGGGAGCCAAGGCCAAGAGGAAGAGCTGGGGCGGGGCAGCCAGGGGGCAGTGACACATTGTAAGCCCCCGTGTACGAGGACACCCGCCACAACGTACGTCCTGCAGCCAGGTGCCCCATTTGCCGACTTAGATGTGATTGAACCCAAGATTTCCCCACCTTTTTGGTGCCATGGATTCTGTCCTGAGGGGCTACCGGGAGAGAGGGAGACATGAGCTGAGGCGTCTCTAGGGAAGTTTTCGTGGGGTCAGAAGATTGGAGCTGGGCCTGGGAGGGTAGGTATCAGAAAGGAATCAAGAGGAAGGTAGGGTGTTGTTGGGAAACGAGCAGCAGGAAAGACTCGTGCCCCGTTCTCTTGGGAGGGTCCCACGAGCCTGGCTGCAGCCACCGCCCCTGCCCCCACCCCAGTCTCAGGCGCCTCCAGGAGCAAGTGCCCTGAGAGTCGCTGCCTCCTAGGACGAAGAGGGCGCCATCGTGATGCTGAAGAGGCATGTGAGGCAACAACACGCGCTGGAGGAGTATGGAAGGAATATCAAGCAGCTGGCCGCCAGGGCCCAGAGCCTGCTGTCTGCGGGCCACCCTGAGGGGTGAGTGTGCCGGGTCATGGACATCAGGCCAGGGGCCCCGCCAACCAGGATCCCTTCAGGTCCAAGTGGGAAAACAGCAACAGTCTTGGGGATAACTGGGTTTGAGGCCACTGCTTTCTGGACTGCTGGCTGGCCCAGTTCCATCTCATGCCTTGGTTTTGCATGAGGAACTTCAAACAGGGCCAACTAAGGCCTGGTTTGCAAAAAGATCAGAAAATGGAATAGCGAAAGTACCCTCTTGGTGAACCAAGAGCTCCAATCTTTTGAAGAATTAGATTATGCTAAGAGACACTGAAGAGTAACTTTGCTTTTCTCTTTATGGTCCAGAAGGTACTTCAGGATCTCCCAGTGTCCCAGCAAAAATCATTATATAGGCATGAAGGTAGAAAACCTACACCCATCTAGTATGTGGGTCTGCCTGGGCCAGACACGACAGGCTGCACCCCCAGACATGGCCTGGTCCTCAGCTGCCTGCAGGGCATCCACAGCTGTGGGGCTTCATCAGCCACCCCAGTATCTCCCAAGGAGCCCCAAGAATTGAGCCCCTGGTTCTACAGGCCCCATCCTTGCTGCCTCTGGAGCCGGGCTCACAGTGCTGCTCCATCAGCCTCCTTGGGAGAATAATGGAGGAGTTCCCTTTTGTCTCCCTGAGCTTCCCCGAGTGAGAGATGATGGTGGGAGGCATCCTGTCCGGAGGGGACACATTTCGGTCATCCCCTGAGGCATTCTGGTCTAAGGGATGGTTCTTTTTCTCCCCAGCACTTCCCAGGAAAAGCTGCTGTCATTTCTCCTAGTTTCCTTTCCCCAGCTCTCCCTGCCATGGGGCTGGGGAGGAGCAGATCCGCCCCTCTGAGCTGGCTGCTCTGTGCTCTCTGACTTCGTCTCTGAGTGCTCTCTGGTTTTGAATTCCAGGGAGCAGATCATCCGACTTCAGGGGCAAGTGGACAAGCAGTACGCAGGGCTGAAGGACATAGCCGAAGAACGCAGGCGGAAGCTGGAGAACATGTATCACCTGTTCCAGCTGAAGCGGGAGGCAGATGACTTGGAGCAGTGGATTTCAGAAAAGGAGCTGGTGGCCTCTTCCCCTGAGATGGGGCAAGACTTTGACCATGTTACAGTGAGTACTCACGGTGACTGCTCTCTCTGTCCTCCTCGAAGGCCAGAGACGCAGGAGCAGTCATGCCAGGCGCGCGCACGCACGCAGTGCTACACAGAGATGGAGACGCGCTGGCGTGAGCTCAGGCTGCCCTGGGGAGCTGTGGCCCCAGGGGGTGGTGGTTCCCGCCCTGCGGAAGTCTGCAGCTGGGGCGATCACACCACCCCACCCCTGGGCCCCGGTAACCGCCTTTCTGTTTCCCCCACGTCCAGCTGCTCCGGGACAAGTTCCGGGACTTTGCCCGGGAGACGGGGGCGATTGGGCAGGAGCGGGTGGACAACGTGAACGTCGTCATTGAGCGGCTCATCGACGCAGGCCACAGCGAAGCGGCCACGATCGCCGAGTGGAAGGATGGGCTGAACGAAATGTGGGCGGACCTGCTGGAGCTCATTGACACGCGCATGCAGCTGCTGGCCGCCTCCTATGACCTGCACCGCTACTTCTACACGGGCACGGAGATCCTGGGCCTCATCGACGAGAAGCACCGAGAGCTGCCGGAGGACGTGGGGCTGGACGCCAGCACCGCCGAGTCTTTCCACCGGGTGCACACGGCCTTCGAGCGGGAGCTGCACCTGCTGGGCGTGCAGGTGCCGTCTGTCCCCTGCTGCCCACCCCCCCCCACCGCCCCTGCAGGCTCCAGGGCCCTGCCGTCCACCTCTTCCCCAGGGGCCCGGGGGTGTCACCCTCTGCAAGGGACACCAGGAAATGTTGCCTCTTTAGAAAGGCAGCAGCTTGGGCTGCTGTGGGCGGGAGCTGTGGCCTTCGGTCGTTCTTTAGCTTCAGAAGTAGCTCTTCAAACTGAAACCTCACAAAAACCCAAGGCATAAAATACCTTAAAATGCTGTCTCTGGTTGTGCAACAGGGCTCCTAGGGAACACATATATGGTGCATTTCTAGCACCAAGTATTGGTATCAGCATTACATTTAGTCACTGACTCCTCATGGCCACGCTCTGAGCTAGGTACTAACATCATCTGCACTTTATAGATGAGGAAAGCAAGGCACAGAGAGTAAACAAGTTCCCTGGAACGTGTGGACAAACAGTGGAGCCAGGATTCAGATCCTGGTGTCCTGGCGTCCTGGCTCTAGACTCCATGCCCTTGGCCACTGGGCTGTTCAGTCTTTCTACATGGGAGCTGGGAGTACCCTAGGATCTGCTTAGACCCCCTCCTCCCATCAGTGGGGTGGCCCCCGAGGCACCTCTGCAGGCCCACAGGGCTCCACAGAACTTGGAGTGATGAAAGGGTAAAGGCAAGGGGACCCCCCTGCCGGGGCTTTGGCAGCCTTCCAGAGGCCCCAGGAGAGACGGGCTGGCTGTGGAGCCCTGCACCCAGCCAGCGGGGTCCAGGGATAGGACGCCAAGGTGGGTCGGGCCCTCGTTCACTCAGAAGAGGACCTCCTAGGAATTTGTCATCTGGCTGGAGGTGAGGCCTGTTGCGGTCCTTGTGCTTTGGGGGTGCCAGAGCCCCTGAGGGGAGCGCAGCCCACTGAAGTCTCAGGAATGAGGCCTCATTGCACTGGGCCCGGCCTCAAACAGGGGATCTGGTAGAGCCCCTTCCTTGACAGGCAGCATGCAGAGTGGTTAAGAACAGGGACTCCAGTCTGCACCCCTCTTCTAGTGTCAGTGACCTCAGGCCACTCACTCAGGCTCGCTGTGCCTCAGTTTCTTCATCTCAAAAACAGGGATCACAATAGTACCTCTTTCATAGGGTGCCTGTGAAACATGCCTGGCACGTAGTTACTCTTACTACAGTACTTCTGGGGAGATTAAAGGGCAGAGAGTCCCTTTCACTCCCATATTCTCATCAAAGCCCAAAAGATGGCTTGGGTCCATAGAGGCCAAAACGAGGAGACTTCCCTCCCAGCACTGGTGGGAGGCTGAAGATCTTGCCTTCCAGAAGAGCCCTGGGGAGGGAGACCTGGAGGAGACAGACCTCTTGCCCATCAGAGGCCCAGGACACATCTTTCTAGGGAACAACGTCCAGTTTTGCCCAACCACAGGTCCAGCAGTTCCAGGACGTGGCCGGCCGCCTGCAGAAGGCATACGCTGGGGAGAAAGCAGAGACCATCCAGAACAAGGAGCAGGAGGTGTCTGCCGCGTGGCAAGCACTGCTGGACGCCTGTGCCGGCCGCCGCACACAGCTGGTAGACACGGCAGACAAATTCCGCTTCTTCGCCATGGCCCGAGACCTCCTCTCCTGGATGGAGGGCATCATCCGGCAGATCGAGACCCAGGAGAAGCCTAGGTAAGGGGGACATGCTCGGGGCCGCCCCACTCCTCAGCCACTCTGTCCCCAAGCCTGGCAGACCAGGCCGCTGCCCTGGGTCTCCTCCTTGGAGGGACCGTCTTGGACTGTGGGGGCACCTGAGGCTGGGTCCAGGCAGAAACAGAGCGGCTCGGCTTTTCCTGGGAGGACCGGCCATCGCAGAATAACGGGAGCCTGGAGAGTGGCGAGAAGGACGTCTGCCGTTCAGACCTGACGGCAGGGCAGTGACCCCAGCTACAGCTGTCAGGGAGAGCAAGTGCTCCACGCATCCAGAGCCGCGCACGTCTGAGCCTGTGCATTCCCCCCCACCGCCCCGCCCAGTGCTGGGACGAGGCGGCCGTTCTCCCCAAGCTCCAGAAGGAGCTCCTTGTCTGGGGCGCGGGGCTCATGCCCATCTCTGTCCCTCTGCCCTGGAGTGCCCGTCCTGATGGCCAAGACTTTATAGTTTTCATCTTGATTCAGAATGCGATTCACATAACATACCATTCAGCCACGTAACATGTCCCATTCAGGGGTTTTCGCATGATCACCGGGTACAACCCTCACTACGGTCTAAGTTTAGAAAACTTTCATCACCCCAGAAAGAAGCCTTGTACCCACTAGCAGTCATCACCCCACAATTCCCTCCTCTCCCCAGCCTCTGGCAACCACAAATCTGCTTTCCATCTCTCTAGCTTTGCCTGTGTCCTAGACTCGTCATAGAAGGGGACTCAGACAATATGTGGTCCTCTGTGACCGGCTCCTTTCACTTAGTGCGAACCTTTTAAGGTTCGTCCATGTTGTAGCAAGCATCAGAACTTCATTCCTTTTTATTGTCAAATAATATTCCCAGGCTTCTTTCGGGGTCCCTGAACCCCCAACCCATCCCCTGCCCACTGACCAACGGAAGACACTAGGGCATCAGCGTTCCCACTGGGGCTGGGCTGGCAGAGGACCCCCTGGCTGGCCAGAGAGAGAGGAGGAAGTGGGGTCAGACTCCCAGGCAGGTGGGGGGCGGCCCTCTCTGGTCTGGACTTGGCATCAGGCAGGCCAGAGTCACCTCGAGTTTCCTTCTTCCCCAAACTCCCTCCCCGACCCATGGCCCGCCCACCCCCCAGGGACGTCTCCTCGGTGGAGCTGCTCATGAAGTATCACCAGGGCATCAGGGCAGAGATCGACACCCGGAGCAAGAACTTCAGCGCCTGCCTGGAGCTGGGGGGGTCCCTGCTGGAGAGACAGCACCAGGCCTCGGAGGAGGTGAGAGGACAGTGGGGTGAAGAGGAGCCCCTCCCTGTCCTTGCCTGCATTCCTGCCGGGCCACACAGCTTCCTGGGAGGGAGCTCTGGGCCATGGTTTCTCTGAGAGACTCTTTCTTTCACTCCTGGAGCATCAGGGCTGTGTGCAGGCCCAGGGACGAGAGCCCCAGCAACCCCACCCAAGGTTGGCAGCTTAGTAGGGGAGAGCAGGCTCATAACCCACCTAACCACCCACATGTGTGCATGCTTTGGCGTTGGCAACACCCGTGTCCTAGGAGAAGCACACGTGCCTCAGAGAGGTTAAGTAACTTGCCCAAGGTTGCACGTCTGGCAAGGGGAAGGGCCAAGATGTGAAGCGAGGTCCTTATGACCAAACCCAGCATGCTTTGCAGGACCCATTTGCACACCCCCTCAGACAAAAGGAAGGTTTACCAAAAGCCTGAGCTATTCTCCCTTCCTTCCCACAGATTAGGGAGAAACTGAAGCAGGTGCTATCCAGGAGGAAGGAGCTGGATGAGAAGTGGGAGAACCGCCAGGAACAGCTCCGCATGTGTGAGTGCACCTGCGACCCAGAACTTGGGAAAGGGGGCAGACTCCTGCTGAGGTGGGGACAGGGAGGAGGTGATTTGCACTGCCTAGAGAAGAGCCCCCAGAATGCCACCCATCAGCAAGGTTCTGGGGCCAAGGGCCTCGGGCGTCCGCACAGAAGAGCCACATGGACGCGCTGCTGGCAGCCCACCTCTTACCAGCCAGCATGCCCTCTCCCTGCCTACCCTCTGCCCCGCCTGGGTCCAGGCAGAACCTGAGTGGCTCGGCTTCTACCGGGCGGACACCGCCGCCTTGTGCCAGGCTGGTGTCCCTGTAGCCTGGGGAGGGGTCAGGTTAAGGCTCTGGCGCCTCCCACATGTTTGATCTGAAGCATGTCAGGCACAGAGAGGGCTCTGTCTCCTGCAGCTGGAGACTAAGGAGAGGTGGAAAATCCACCACTCCTGGCCACACACGAGCCAGAAAGGCCTGACGGCCCCCTGGTTGCTTGTGCACGATTATGTGGGGCAGCCAAGGGCTGGGAAGAGGGCGTTCCAGGCCAATGGCTGCTCCTCAAAAGGAGACGTCTGAATCATATTTTGTTTTCAAACTAGTGTTTGTGCTAATTCATGTGTTTTTCCAATATGACTATGGGTGGGGATGAGGAAACCCTCCGCCCACATGGCATGGGACGGAGTGGTCTCAGGCAGCAGGGCACCGCTGAACAGGGTGTCCATGAGGTTCAGGGCCCCTGTGCGGGCCTCCTGCCTGGCCAGCCCCTTGTCTGTGGAGCGGCCCACTGCTGAGCGCTAACAGGCCCTGGGGCCTGCGGGTGGGTCTGTGGCTTGGTCCCCGCACAGCCCTGGAAGTGTGCCAGTTCTCGAGGGACGCCTCTGTGGCCGAAGCGTGGCTGATCGCCCAGGAGCCCTACCTGGCCAGCCGGGACTTTGGACACACGGTGGATGGTGTGGAGAAGCTTATCAAGAGGCACGAGGCTTTTGAGAAATCCACAGCCACCTGGGCCGAGCGCTTTGCCGCCCTGGAGAAGCCCACCACGGTGAGCTGGGAACAGGCACTGGGAGGCCCCGCAGCTGCGCCTCGGGTGGGGGATCCCGAGTCAAGAACTCTGAGCCTGTTATTAGGCGTCCACGGACAGTGTAAGAGGCTCGGTGAGGGGCAGAGTGGGAAGGAAAGAGGAGACGCAGAAAGTACTTCTGAATGCAAAAGATGAAAGGGGTGACTTCTAAAAGAACAAACACCAGGTGTGTGGGGAGGCATCTTTAGGGAAAGCTGGTCTAACAGCAAGCAGGCTCTTCTCTGTGGCTACTCTGATACCCTGGGCCTTTCCTTCCCCTTAGCTTGAGCTAAAAGAACGCCAGACCCCAGAGAGACCCGAGGAGGAGAGTGGGTAAGTGTGGGGAGGGCCAGGCAGTGGATTTAGCAGGAGCGTTCTGCCAAGGAGGATGGGTGGGAAGGGGGAGGGAGGGTACTTTTCATCAGAAACGGGCTCCCTGACGTCTTAACAATACCTGGGCCACTAGCCAGAGAAATCTGGAGTGTCTGCAGCCTAAAGGCCGAGAAGAGCTTTTGTTTCCCCCAAAACACGGGTGGCCTGAAGGCCTGGTACAGGCAGAAACGCCCCCCCCCCCACTCCACCCGCCCCGTTCTGGGAGCCACCTGAACACGTGCCCCCAGAGGCCATTCTGCCTCCAACCATGTCCATTTCTGAAGGGTCTGCCGTACGTTTCAGATTAAGCAGTTCCTTGCTAAGTGCCTTTGCGAGGAGACCCGGACCGGGAGAGAGTTGACATGTTCCTGGTGGGGAGAGTGGGAAGCCAGGTCCTAGGGGTAGGCATTGGCCTTGGGGAGATGGTTTCTAAAGGAGGGCTATGTCTTCCATAGGCCTCAAGAGGAAGAAGGCGAGACAGCAGGGGAGGCTCCCCGAGGTCCACATCGTGCAGCCACTGAGAGAACATCCCCGGTCAGTTTCCTGTCCTATCTGTCTGGTTCCTGGGAGTCCTTGCTGCCAGAACCCTCTCATCCCTACTAGGCTCAGCCGGGGCAGAACGCGAGGACAGGCATGCACCACCCACGCTTCCAGACTCCTCCTTCAGATCAGTCTTCTTTTTTACTTAGGTTTCCTTAATTTCTAGAATAATTCCCCTCCTCGCTTCAACCCAGAAGAAACTGACATGCCAGCCCACTGACATGACTCTTACTAGTTTGATTTTATCTAGTCTAATAAATTTTATTGTATAAATACATCACCATCTACAAATTCATCTACATTAGGAGAAACAGTTGATCCAGGGAAGACTTATTTTTATATACCGTTCTTCTCCCCTTTTCCCTCTCACTCCATCCTTAACACAGCATGCCCTACACACACATTCACACACACGCGCGTGCACACACACACACTTTTTCTCTCACACATGCACAAACAGACCATCTGATCTCGCCTGTCTCAGCCACGGGCATTCAGGGCAGTGAAGGGGGGACACCCAACCCTCTAGCCCATCCCTCCCTCCTACACAGAGCACCCTCCTCTTTGCTCCCTCCCCCACCCCCTCTGGGCCTGATGCCTGTGGGTCGGTTTGAAGGTGGAGCTGGCTCTGAAGCAGGAGTGAAGGAGAGCCCCAGGGCTTCTGGGTCACAGGGCCAGTCCCCCCCCCCAGCCTTGTAGAAAAGGAGGGTGCAGCAGAGACCTGGCTGACAGAAGTGTTGGGAGGGTCCAAGACAGACCAGCTGCCGAAGGCGTGGGGCACATGGCTTCAGGAAGGAATAGGTCCATTAACTGAAAAGACCCAAGGTGCCCGTGCAGGGAGCCCGGGAGGCTGTAACCCGGATTTTGGAGAAATGCCCTGGGGAGCAGCTAAGAAGAAGACAAAACATCAGCACGTGCCTTGCATGGCTCCCCAGTGCATGTACCCCTACCTGTCCAGCTGCCTGATTGAGCTTGCATGAACCTTTAGGGAGATTGGTGTTCTAGGTGGGAATTTCTGATACACCAGCCACCCCAGAAAAATGCACATACAATGAGTATGCAGAATCTCTGTCAGGTCTGTATTTCGGCCGTTCTCACACTTCTGAGAGTCACACACACCCCCTCTCCCACGCTGAGCTCCCTCTGCAGCCTCCAGCCTGGCCAGAGTCCTCCCTTTCTGAGCTGCACCGGCCCGTCATGTCCAGCAGAGGGCATTCCTGGGCTCCCGATGGAGGGCCTCTCCCAGAAGTGCCCTCTGAAGCTCCCATCAGCGCATGTGGGGTCTCTGGTGGACTTCGTCCCAGCCCCTTTTTCCCAGAGACAGCCCCTACTGGAAGGAGAGAGAACTCTGGGGGCTGGCCCGAACTGTGGACGCTGGGGCTGGGACTGTCCCCCACGGCCCACGCTTCAGCTGCGCATCCCTGTGTGTCTCCGTGCAGTGGTGTCCCTGGTCTGCGGGCTCCTTTGTGACCTCCTGCGCGACTCCGTGGTTTGTCATGTTCGTCTGTGTGAATGTAATTACACGTGCATCAGAGCCGCCTCCGTCCAGCACCTGAATGTCACTGGGTTTGGGGGAATAAAATCTGCTTGGGCCTGGGCATCTCTGGAAGGAGGGAATGAGCCTACAATGGAGACCCTTCCCAGAGAGCCGGCCACTGCGCCAGAGGGGAAAATGCCTGGGTTTGGTACAGGAAGAAACCAGATGGCAAATCCAATGAACACCAGGCCCGAGGCCTCATGGAAACAGCCACGAGGCTGCTGCTTCTCCTTTCTGAGCCCTTTGCTGGGCTTTATGAGGATCTCCAAAACTCCACGGGAGGGCACAATCTCCAATTGGTCTTGGGTCTGAGAAGAGAGGACAATGGGTCCCATGCAGGCTGGGACACCTTTGCAGAAACCGCAGGCCTGTCCCGAGAAGGGCTGACAGTGTGCTGCCCCTTCTCTCCGGCCTGGCCTGGGGGCACGGTGGCTCTCCTGCTGTCCCCTGTGTGTGTGGTCCGGTGTGGGCGCCCTGTAGAATAGATCCATGTGGTGTTGCTTTCTGTGAAACCCATCACTAGTGCATGCTGGCTTCCTGCTTGGGGGAGTGGATAGGAGTGGACCAGGCACCTGAACCCCTGCCTAGCTGGCTCCACAGCCTGGGGGGGGAGGGCAGCCTACCAGCCCCAGCCCAGTCCTCCCCTTCCCGGGTGCGTCCATGCTGTTCCACGTCAGTCTTTTCCTCAAGCACATCATCGTACAATGAATTGTCTCCCTCACCACTTTTCCACATTAGAGCACGTTCTGGTAAAAAAAAAAAAAAAAAAAATCCATTCATACAGGTAAGTGTGTAGGTGTGTGTGAGGCCAAGCAGAAAAAACAAGGTATCAAAAAAGCCAAAACTTCTGGAGTGGAAGTCAGGACATTGCGTCCTAGTCCATGATTCTGCTGGAGCTTTCCTGCATGATTTTAGACAAACCACCTAATCCTCCTGGGTCTCCTCACCTTTATAAAGCCCTCTCGTAGGGATTACGGAAAGTCCAGAACATTCCTGTATGTCAAAAATGTACCTAAGTAAAGGGAGAGGCTGGGAGAGTTGGGTTTCCCCCCTTTCCTCAGGTCTCATCCTTAGTTCTAAGGAGCCTGTTCGCTTGTCGGGTGCTAGTTGGTGTGAGGCTGGAGATGGGAAAGAAGAGGTAAAGGGCTGGGATATTTGCCTTTGTCCTTGTTTGGGGAAGAGAGGCAGGGTTGGGCCTCAGCTCCTGCGGAGGTCTGGACCCTGAAGATGGCCCCAGGGTGCTGGATGGGGCCTGGTGGCAGGCTGAGCCATTCCCCTTCCTCTTAGTGCCTGGGGCACTGTCACCCTAATACCCCCTGCCTTGTGTGTCTCCCCTTCATCCCAGATGTGGCTCTGGAAAGGGCTTGGGGGTCTTGTCAAGTATCCTCATCTTCCAGACCCTGGGTGCCTCAGAATCCCCGGTGTAACATCTGTGATGAGATGTGATGATCGATTTCACGGAGGGAAAATGGTATTGCAGGGGATCCAAGTCCCTCCAGGCTTAGGGGGCCCCAGCCAACAGCGCTGGGTGTCTTCTGCACACCGCATCTGTTTCTTGGCTTTGGGGTGGGAATTGGGGCCTGCTTGAGGAACTCTCCGAGCGGGGCAGCTGTGACTAGTGAGAGACATCCCTGACAGGGACTGGTGTTCCTAGGGGCTGTGACAACAAGAAAGAGTCAGTCTTCAGGGTCACGGTGTGGGTAGTCATGCCCTGCCCGCCTCAGGGACGTGAGGCTACTCCAGAAAGCAACTGCTGGGTGCTGTTCGTTATCAGGCCCCTTCATCAGGGGGTCAGGGAAAACTCTTACCCAAGTGCAGCTCACAGACGTCACTCTTAGTGTGACCCTTCAAGACTGCCTGCCCCTGGCTGCCCTGGAAAGGACTGGGCATCTCAGCAGGGACGAGGGAGGGGAGTCGAGCCACCCAGGTCCCTTGCCTTTCCCATAGTCTCAGAGGTTGCTGTGGCTTCAGGGAAGTAACCGGTCCTTGCAAATGTGAGGGACGTGCCCCAGGCGCTGGGGGTGCTGGGTCGCAGGCACTGGGTAGCCGCCAGGATACCTTTCAGACTGGCACCCCCTTGGCCAGCTGGGCAGCTCCCCTCAGAGCAGCCTCCCTGGTGGGCAGCCTGGAGCTTTACTCAGCGGCCAGAGGCCGGGCTCCACTGTCCTTGGATGGAAGGGATGTGGGTGTGTGTGGAGGAAGCAGCTGTGTTTCTTCTTGCCTGAGCACGCTTTCCCGATCCTTCCTCCCCCACCCTGTGAGGCCCAACGGAGCTGCCGCTTCAGGCATTTTCAGCCCATGCGAATCATATTTGTTCATAATGAGCAGAAGGGGCCTGGAAAGGACTCTGTTTTCCCCTAAACCTGGGCATGGCCCCGTCTCCCCAGGATGCCTGAATCCGCATTGCCGGGGGTGGGGTCTGCCGGCCATCTGGCACTGCACCCTGATACTCCAGGCTCCGTCTGGATCTGTGTCCCCCACCCAGCTCTCTCTGCTGTGGCCACGTGTGATCTTCCGGGCCCGGCTGCTCCAAAGTTCTTTTTTAGGCTGCCCCTAAATTCTTTCTTGCAAGCTGTGTTTCAGAGCATCCCAGATACTGACGGACTCGGGACAGAACCCAGTTAACATTGGAGGCGATCTCAGAAATGGGGTTTGAAGCCGCCAACTTAACCACTGGGCGTCGGATCTGGATGGGGGAGTGGGCATCTTCTCTCTCTAATCTTTCTGAGTGGCTGGCTTAGAGTCACCATGGGATGGAGCGGCCACCAGCTTCTCCAGGGCAGAGGGACCAGAAGAGCCCACACTGAGGGCAGGAATGGTGAAGACTGCTCCCAAGGAAGCCTCATTCTCCTCCCGCCCATGATGGTGGTGGACCATGTCTCCCCATCCCTGTCTGAGGGGACCCTGCACATTCCCCTCTCCTCTCTTCTTTCCCCTCACTTCACCTGGTGCCCTCCCACCCCCATCATCTTCCCTGGTGTCCCAGTTGTCATCTCGGATGGATGACTGGCCCCCGGGGTCCGGTGTGGAGCCACTCTTCCCCCCATCCCACCTCTCATGAGAGCCCTCCACCCCAGCCACTCCTGCCTTCCTTCTCCTCTCTGTAGGCATTTGTCTCTGCTCACCCTGAGTTGCCATCTCTTCATTTCTTCTTTCAACTCAACAAAGCATCTCTTTTTCTTCTCTTGTAAACAATTGTCTTCTGAACTGTCTTCCCAAGCTGCCTGCCCACATTCCTTCCCACCCCTTTCCCAGAGGACAAGCGCCCAGACATCAGACACTGGGGGAGCATGCAGTTCTCAGCGGCAGAAGTGGCCGGCTTCCCCCACCTCCGTTTCAAAGCCTTGTTGGATTGCCTCAGGCATCCGACCATAGGTCTCGTGTGGCCCCACGCCCCTCCTCCGGCCCCTTCAGGTGTTCTCTGACTCATCCCACATCAGCGGGCTTGGCTCATTTCGACCAAGAACTGCACTGGGTAGGTGCTCTCCTCCGGAGCAGTAGTCCCCGCCCCTCATGCAGCAGGATTCCATAGGAAGAGCTTGGACGGAGTTTGGGACCAGACAGATCTGCTGCCTCGACTTTCCACTCACTAGATGTGTGGCTGAGCAAGCTGCTCATTTTCCCTGACCCCCACTTTCCTGAGTCTCTAAAATAGGGGTGGTGATGATACCTGCCTCACAGGTGTATCAGGAGAGAGAACATAGGTAGAACTGGCATCGAGGAGATGACCTCAGCCTTCATTTTTCCCTTCATTTTTTCTCTGTCCCTCACTGCAGTCCTTCATCTCTTAAAAGCAGCCTTCTCCATATGAATGCCAAAGCCCTCCCAAACCAACCTCCCTGGAGTGCCTCCCCCTGGACCCGCCTACGTACACGTTCCAGGCTCAGTCCTTGCTGTGAGATCAGTGGGCAAAAACCATCACATCTAAAGGTGGAATGCTCTCTTCCCAGGATGCACCCTCATGCCCTGGTTCTCGCTTATCAGCATCTCCTTTAGAGAGAAGCCCCCTTACTTGTGTTTCCTTGCTTGTTAATACATCTGGGTTCACCGAGCATCTTCTAGAACCTCCAAAACACCCTGTGGTCCCAAGCCAGGTGATTTTTCTCGTGGGAGTTCCTCATCTCTGTGCTGTCTTCTACACCAGCAGCTGGCTGGGCCTGGAAGTACACCTTCAACCCCTTTAGTCCAGAGTAGAAATGTACCCATCTTGCCCCCTTTCTTCTCCCCCCTTCTTGAACCTCCTTTGTGGCCCTCTGTCTATTTTGCCTGCCCAAGCCAGCTTCCTAGCCAGGCAGGACCCTAAAAGGTCAAGCTTACAAGACTCTGAAAAGAGGTGGCCATCCCCTGCCCACCAGGAACTGAGGCCTCTGTTTGACTACAGTCCTGTGAGATCCTAAAAGCCTCTCCTGTCCATGCCCTTTCCTCCCCTGATGTCCCCCAACCCGCAGCCAGTACTGCCTGTCCCCTGCCCTCCTCTGACCCCACGATCCCAGCAGCCGGCACACACACGCCTTCCTCTCAGATGCCCCCACTTCAGCCACCTGTTCCCCAAAGCGAAGAACCTGGCTCCACCCTGCACACAGCACCTCCCCCGATTCCAGCTCCCACCGCGGGCCATTCTCCCTCAGGCTGTCACTCCCATTTATCGGCTAGACTGCCCAGCTGCTCCAGCCTGCCACCGAGAATTTCCTCCAGGCCCCCTCTTTCAGCCCCTCCGGGTGGCGTCTCCAGGCTCGACCCCCTCAGCAGTATAGGCGTAATCTGTGCATCGTCCTCATGAGCCAGGGCTGAAGCAGTGGGCCTCCTGCCTTACAACATGGAGGACAGAAGGGAATCAGATCATCTCCTTTCTCCAGGGCCCTTTGGCAGAACCTGCCTGTCTCTACAGCCACACGAGTAGCCAGCCCTGGGCCCCAGCTTCTCACCTAGAACCCCCTCCCGGTGTCCTGCTCTCCACTGGTCCCACCCTTGTAGGGCAAGGCAGACTCTCATATCCGAGTATGGCACGGTTCCAGGGGCAGCAGGAACACAGTCCCCACCTCCTGTCCCTCCCCTCGCTTTCTTTTAAGAAGACAGCACAAAGCACATTTATCCCTGGGGCCTGGGAAAGGAAGGTCCTTCTGGCCAAACCATGCCCCATCTTTCTCATCTGTGGCTCCTCCCTTAGCCCTGGAGAGCAGTTCTGCTTCCCTGGACCTGGGGGTGCGGGGTGGGGGGCAACAGCTGCCAAACACTTCTCTCACCCTCTTTCTGGGCTCTTCCTCAGGCCTTGGCCTTCTGGGCAAACGGGACAGATTGGCTTTTAAATTGTCTCCACATGAATAGTCAAGAGCACAGAAGAAATCTTTGCAGACATTGGAAAACCCCCATTTTCCAAAACCCATGACCTGGCCATTTAACTTTTGACCTTGACGGCCATGGCCTCTGAACGTCCCTGCTAAGGGAGTGGGGGTCAGGCACTCAGGAGGAGGAAGCCGAAGAAAGGTTAAGATGAAGTTGGGAGGCAGTCCTGGAAAAATCTGCCTTTATTTACAGGGGACAGTTCCAAAAAGGAAGGAGAATGGCAGTATGGGAAGAATATGTGGACACAGTCCCTAATGAAACCAGTCCGTGGAGGGCAGAGGCTGAGCAAGAGAGGCACACACGGTCGTGAGGGTCTTCTCTGACCCGCCCCTCCCCGGCAGGTGCAGGGAAAGCACTGGCCCATGACCAAGAGGAGCAGTACGGCCAGATGGAGAGGTGGGGGGTGAAAAGAGGCTTCACTTTCTGCATTAATAATCCACCCCCCACCAAGCTTTATACCCAAGTCAGAAGGGTGGCCTGATCAAGTCCACAGAAAAAGCCCAAAGCCAGGCACCCAGGCTCCCAGTCTCATCCCTGCCAATCTTGCCCTTCCTCCCTCTGGGAGGATGATCCAGGTCTCTAGATCCTTGTGGCCAATGCTAGCTCATTGCAGACACTTGCAGATACAAGTACTACAGTTGAGTAAAGATGAGAATGAGCCACAGTTCTCGTGGGGCTGTAAGACAGGAAAAAATGAAAGACCTAAAGATGTGATTTAAAAAAACAAAATCCTTGCCTTCTAATTCTGGAGTGCATGCTCTCAATCACTTCTGATACTTACTTGCTGTGTGGCCTTGGGTAAATCACTTAACCTCTCAGAGCATAGATTTCCTTGTAAATTGAAGGTATTACACTAGGTTAGTGGTTTTCAAACTTTTCAGTCCCGTTATCTTTTCTTTAAGAGAGATCTTACTGGAACTCCAACTTAAAACTGTGTATTGGACAGTCCTGATTTGATGGGACCCAAACGACCAGCTTTACCTTTCTTCCAGCCATCCACATTGAGCCTCTCCTTCCATTGCTTTACTATCATCTCAGGCAGTCCTCGGTCACCTTCAACTGTTAGAGTCCACCCAGTGTGTCTCAGTTTACTACTTCAGTCCACTATCCGATGTCACGTGCACCTTCTCCCATCCTCCATTTCTCTATTTCAGGTTTGACCCGTGGTCTGAAGGACCCACAATGGGGAGCACAGGGTCTTCGCTCTTCTCTGGCCCCTCCAGGCCTCCACCTTCAATTGTGGGGCAAGCAGCAGGGAGTAGCAAAGGGGGCGGTGTCTCCTGCCTGGGGCGGCCCTGGTCCTCCTGGGCTGCCGCCCTTGGTCCTTCAGTCCAGACATGGCCAGCTCCAGGACCTGCAGGAGCCTTCCCACCCGGTGCTGTAAGGTCTGCAGCAGGCGGGCCTTGGAGACAGGGCTCTGACGAGCCGGCTCGAGCTAGGCTGCCTTCGTTGGAGCTCGTTTGGCACACGGAGGACCCACCGGTGCCCGACCTGGCCGACCTGGCCGACCTGGCGGTGGGAAGCTGGCTACCCCTGCTGCTCCCTTCTGTCCTGCCTGCTTCTGTGGTAGGAGGTGGGCACAAAGGCAGATCGCAAAGGCCTCTGCAGATGGGGACCGGAAGGCCTGCTCCCCTTCTCGTGGACATCTGCCTCCACTGGAGGCCCCTCACTGGGCTGGGCAGGGGCCGGAGCGCCCCACGCCCCCCAGGGAAGTGCAGGGAGGTAAAAGCCACAGCTTTTCCCGGAAGCAGGGACTCCTTCTGTGGGGATTCTCAACTTCAGCTGCTCATTAGAGAGTGTGAAAAGCTTATTCAGAAATACAAATGTTCTGACCCCGCACCAGGGTGTATTCTGCTAAAGCTCCTGAGGTGATGGTAAAAGGCAGCCGGGGTAAGGAAGCACGGCCCTACTCCAGCAAATCGCAGTCCACTGATGGGAGCAGGACCAGTTAGCCCTACACTGCGACCCGGGAGGAGCTAGGTTCTCCCTTTGGAAGGTGGTAGAGGAGACTTAGGGCCCGTCCCCTTGGCTTTGGGGCCTTAGACACAAGCAGGTACCAGCAGAGTCCCCATTCAACATCCTATTAGACGTTTTTCACACCTGTGTTAGCAGCACAACCCTTCATAGAAAATCTTGCCGGAGCCCACGTTTAACTCAGTTGGGGTCCCTGTTGCAGCAGGGGGAGGGGCCGGAGCCAGGCAGTGAGCCAGGGCTTGGCCAGCAGCATTGGCATTTGAAACCATCACCCAGGCCCCTCAGCTGACTCTAAGAACCTCCCTCACTGTGTTCGAGGGGGCAGGGAGTGGGGACGGAGCTGGAGGCGTGGGCAGAGTCGAGGGAAGCTGAGCAGGTGGCCCCACAGGTCAAGGGAGAGCCAGACAGGAACCAGGCTGGGGGGTGGGCGGGGGGGGGGCGCTCAGCTTCCCAGTCCTGCCGGGTAGCCACCCCTGGGTCTGAACCCCTAGCAAGGTGTGCTCCTCCCGTATGCCCCTGAGCAGGGGGAAGAAGAGAGGCAGTGGCCTCAGGACCTGCAGCCGCCACCCCCTCCGGGGCCGCAGGAGAAATCCAGTGGGGATGAGAGGCCCGCCACCGAGCCTCTCTTTAAGGTCCTGGACACGCCTCTGAGCGAGGGTGATGAGCCTACAACGCTGCCGGCCCAGCGGGACCACGGGTACAGTGTGCAGATGGAGGGCTACCTGGGACGCAAGCATGACCTGGAGGGGCCCAACAAGAAGGCATCCAACAGGTGTGTGTGGGACAGGCCACCTGGTGGGAGGGGTGGGCGGCTCCCAGGGACTTCTCCCCCTACAGAGCCTCGGCAACACGGGCAGGGGAGGGGAGAGGGTGCCTTCTGCCTCTTCTGAGAGCTCCCGGGCACCTGGGCATGATGGGAAAAGGCCTGAGTTCAAATCCTATGCCCTTGTACAAGTTACTCAGCCTTTGTTTCCCCATTTGTAAAATGGGGATGATGGGGAGAACCTGCCTCTTTGGTACAGATCCCAAGCCTGGCAGAGTAGGTTCTCAGTGAACACTCGCGGTTATTCTTATCCCAGGCCTGGGTAACAGGTAGGTAGGTCTTGGCAGCAACAACATATCCTTGACCAAGTCCCACTTTTTAACCAATCTGGGCCTGTTTCCCTAGCTGTAAAATGGGAGAGGAGAATGGGGTTGGCATACGTGCCTTCTGGTGGTCCCTCCCAGTGCTGTCCTATAGCAACTCTGTGCCCCTGAGGAACTCTTTCGAAGGCTATGTCCTTTCCCGGCCCCAAGGCATTTACGTCCTTGAGTGCAGTCCGTCCAGGGCTGCTTCTACCCAAGGTCCCCGGGGGCCTGTGTTTCCAGGCAGCATTCCATTCGCAGGGACACTGGGCAGCATCGAGAACCAGCCATATTCTCAGGGCCAAGTGGCAGCATACAGAGCCTGGGCTGAGGGGGCTGGAGGTGGGACATGCTAAAGCTCATTCAAATCCCAAAAATGAATTTGGGGGCCCAAGCACCCTGAAGAAGTTTATTATTTATACAGAGTCCACCTTTAGAAAAGGGGAAACTAGCATCTACTGAGCACCTGCTATGTGCAAGGCATTGTTAGGACTGAGTCCATCTTCACAACCACCCTGTGATATCGAGGTTTCTATTGCCCGGAAAGAGAATCAGAATTCCAGGGAAGTCATTTGTTCGAGGCAGGATTTTACTCCAGGGCCCAGCTCCTTCTTAGCAACTGCCTGACTTGGGCTCCAAGCTCAAAGAAGGTGGTGAGGGCTACGGGAAAGATCGGAGCTTTCCTGGAGGATCTTTCTCTGGGTGTCAGAAACCTGGGCCCCGTAAAACGGCTCTGCAGCCAGCCCGTCCTGTACAGGTCAAGTTCTCTCTTTGAGCTTGTAGTCTTTCCTATGAGCCCAACAAGCTCTCCACCTTCCTGCCCTCCAAAGGGAGGAGGAAGAGGAAAAGCTTGCCTTGTTCCCCAGCCTTCATTCCTGTGAAGGGTGAAAAGGTGCCCCGTTTCCCGTGGCTCGGTCAAGGAGCTCAGGTTAGCCAACCCATGAGCTTCTAAGCTTGTCACCAAACATCAGTTGGGCCTGGATTTGCACAAATGTGTTTCTTTAAAAAGTGCTTGTACAGTATACCGGGCAGATCTCAACAAAATGAAAAATAACCAGAACAAAACGCTGCTCTGCTCACTTCAGTTCTGTAGTGAGAATCACATACACTCATGGGCGAGAAGGGCTTTGAAAGTTAAGTTTACACTGTTGGTCTTAGACTCACTAATCCTACTTTTAGAAATGTATCTCAAGGTAAGATCAGAGTTACAGTGAAGATTTACGCATGAATGTTTCACATTGCTGTTTAAATTGCACCATTTAAATTTCCAGTAATTACAAGGTACACCAATAAAGGGATTATTTATATATAGGATGGGATACCATCTAACAATTCAAAATTACTTTTAGGAAAGATTTGAAGAATATGTGAAAATATTCATGATATAGCATTAATCTTTTTTTAGATTTATTTATTTTTAGAGAGAGAGCAAGCGGGCATGAGTTGGAGGGGCAGGAGAGGGAGAGAGAGAATCTCCAGCAGATTCCCCCCGGAGCCTGGAGCCCAACACAGGGCTCGATCTCAGGACCCTGAGATCATGATGTGAGCTGAAACCAAGAGTTGGATGCTCAACCAGCTGAGCCACCCAGGCACCCTGATATAGTGTTAATTTTAAAAGCAGGATATGAAAAAAATAAAAGCAGGCTATGAAATTGAATATACAATATAACCCAGTTTTCGTTATATATGTGAATAGAAGAAAATGTGAATATGTGAATAGAAAGACTAGAAGAAAATACATAAAATGTTGACAAAGATAGCTAACTTTCGGTAGTGGAATTATATGCAGATGATTTTCATTTCCTTTTCTAACTGTAAAATGTGTTACTATTTATTGGGGCAAAAATGGCAGAATTAAAAAAAAAATGGCAAAGCTGTAAGAACTGATTGCAGGGCGCCTGGGTGGCTCAGTTGGTTAAGCGACTGCCTTCGGCTCAGGTCATGATCCTGGAGTCCCGGGATCGAGTCCCGCGTCGGGCTCCCTGCTCGGCGGGGAGTCTGCTTCTCCCTCTGC